GGGTGGGGGAGGGCTGTTCGTATTTCGGGCCGGCGCGCAGGTGGATTTAGCACAGGCCGCGCGAGGCCCAAGGCTGAATAAACGAGTTGCGTGCGGCGAGGCGACGGGCGCCGCTAGGGGGTGACTGCACTGGCTCTGGTGCATTTGTTTATTCCTGGCAAGGGTCGATGCTGGATGACCTACTCACACTAATGTGAATGGGCTCGGTTTATTTTCAAATTTAAGTTTTTCGTGATTTTTTTTCTTCCTAAATCACATTTGATGCTGTAATTGTGAAAAATAGTAATTCAGTAGATTCCGTGATTTCATCGTGTTGACATAATTTGCTGGCTATTTTTGCAATGTCTATTGTCTGCAATTTCAGACATTATACGATCATATACGTAGTTTGAAAGGGAAAACTGATTGCATACATTAACAATTTTACTAAATAGGAACATTGGTTTATCGTCCGTCGAAATGCTTTGTAACATTTCAAGTCAACTGACAGCTGATGTGATTGCTGTGTGATTCTGCATTAGGGTCATTCGCCCGTTCGCAAAATCACGTTCTATTAGTAACATCACCTTTTCCAATTACGGAGTAGAGACGAAATTATGTAATGCTGTGCGAAAAAAAGCAAATGTTTCGGCAAAATCTCGGGTAATAAGCAGGGCTCTGGTAATGAAAAATTTGATAGCTCTGCGTAAAAGCATTGGCAAGAAAGTACGTGCTGTTTGAGCACCACTAGTTTTGTCAGGTTCGAAAACAATGGAACAGCGCCAAAGCCCGAATCGTTCTGCGAAACTTATTATTCCGCCAATGAGATGAACCGACTGTCAGCTGTTGCCTCGGTGTCGGTTCAGGTTAGAGATAGTTTTCACATGTGATTAAGAGTATTTCGGCGTGGTCCCCAAAATAATATTTTATGAATTGATGAAAGTTTTGTCGAAAAGCAGAGATGAAGTGTATATAGGAATTAATCACCAGACGGATGTAACGGTCAAATACCAAATTCTAAAAGCCCGCGTTATTTACTGTCCGTGCGCTTTTTATTAAACTCACTACAGACTACTAAATTATGTTAAAAATTATTCATGACGTATTCATCGCGTATTTATAAAAAAGTTGAGTATTTATTGAAAAGTGAAGTATTGATTGAATTGAATTGACCAGAATTGAAGAGTATTTATAAAAAAGTTTAGAGTACACATTTTCTTGTATTCTAGCTATTCAAGTTCATTAATTTCTTGCTAACATTTTCCATTTGGTGAAATGACAAAAATAATAGGAAGTGCGACAAGTTACCTTAGGTTGTGAAACGAATGCAAAAAATTTCTAGATGTTACTCACAGATCATGCTCCGAAGTTGATTTGGCATCAATGAGTCAAAAAAATCGCTAGCATGACAGAACAGACAATAGCACGCGGCTGTCGCTCTGTGGCCAAATTGTGCTCGAAGGGCATAAACTGTCGCCGACACCGAAAGTGATGGCTTGTCTGACTCCGGAATCCGAAAGCTATGGAGGTCAGAGTTCTTATTACTTGTAAAATTTTAGTGCATGCGCGGTGAAAGAAATTTTTCAACGCGGTTCATTTATAGCTATCATTTTGAATGTGTGTGGCTCATTTCGTTTTGCCTTAAGACCTTTCCGGAATATCGTTAAGTTTCAGCAATGTATTTTCAGTCGTGTATTCTCATATAAAATTCCGTAGTTAAGGAGCGATTTTCTCTTCGGTTCTATGTTTATACAACCACTACTGTTTTATTCGTTTCATAGATTCTGTAATGCATTTGTAGGTTTTTTTAAAATTATTTTGAAGATTTCTAAACTTACCGTTTTCATTTGCGGTCGTCACTACAAACAGAGCTGTCGGTCGCTTCCTCTTTCACTTTTCGCGCTCGCTTATCTTCCTTGGCGTCTCCGGCGCCGTGTTCCGGTGTGCGATCAACGCATTTTGGAGTCCGCCCACAAGCCGGGAATCAGTCAGTTCCAGGAGGAAGCGCAAAAATGCAGAGTACTCTTGTAGTTGTCGTTTTTAAGTCGTTCTTGTTGTTGCTGCTGCTGCTAAGGCTGCTTTCGTTTACACTAATGCTCAAAATATGCTAGAATGAGTAAATAGAAAATCAATTAATTGTTACCTGGGTAAGTAAGTGAGCATGCGAATACCTCGGCTAAATACTCACGTATACCTGTGACTTGAAATAAATGTCATCAACGCGTAAGGCTTGTAGGTGTGTTAGGAAAATTATTACTTTTTGATAATGAACATGTATTGCATTTGTACATTACGAAGTTGCCTAAAAATCAGAGGCAAATACGTATACACAGACGATCGACAGGTATATAAAATCTCCTTTACTGCGTCAGAACCTACCAAATATCTGTGCATAAGGGGTTGCCTAGAAATAAGGGGCAAATACCGCGCACATAAATGCATATAACTCATTACATGAAATTTCCCATTACATGTTCCATTAACAAAATGTGGTTATTTTCGGCCCTTCTACATGCTGTAGGAGATCGTAACTCCCTATGTACTACTTACTTACCACTAAAGTCACCAAACTAAATAATTTAATATTTTGCCTGATTAACAAGTACATCCCCATAGATAAGAAACAGGAGGGGATCAGTTCTTTCCTTGGATTACTCAAAAGCAACTACTTTTTGAATTCTCCTTTCAGATGATTTGAAATGTACTTCTTACTTTCTATGAGTGTTAGAGCAACACCCGTAATTCTATTCTTTCTAATTTTCGTATAAGTGAAAACTGCCTACACATTTTATTATTCTATTAGATCATCTTTGACATGGATGTGGTAATGAAGTGGGCATTGAGTTAAAAAATTCTGGGAATAATCTTAGGAAAATTGATTTGGCAGCTTTTTTACTTCTCTATTTTAGTTAAATAATGTTAGAAACTAAATTGAGGCTTATTGAGCTAGAATAAGCCCCACTTCTGCTATGCATTTGCATTTTCCACTTATGCAATTTCGCATTTTCGCACTTATGCATTTTCCACTTATTATTATTATTAATAATAATAATAATAATAATAATAATAATAATAATAATAATAATAATAATAAATTATACATATACTTTATTTCTTGATTTACCTAAATTTCTTAACAAAAGCTCATAACGTCTTACTATTGCTGTATGCTCCATGTACTTCGTTTATATAACTCGATCGATAATGTTATTTTTTATTTATTAGAATATTCAACATATTTTAATTTTGAGTTTGAATACGCTCTACATTTACCAGGTTATATGTTATTGACATAATTATTGTTATAATTATTTTTATTAATGATGTGATAATGAGCTATATATTTTTACATGGCATACTTGTTTGTTCGCAGGATACAAAGTGTCCGATACAATGAGGAAGGGAATACTGGATGTCAACTTGTATGCTGACTCCGAGGCCGAACTAATGTTGGGCATGCTGTCAGCGTTGGGTGAGTAATTTGATTTGCAACGTTTTCTTTTTAATGTTGATAATGGAATTTACAAGTCACCTTAACGATACCACTAGTGCTTACGTTTTTTTTTCTTATCGAATCGGGACAACACGAGATTGTAGCAGAGATAATATTACTTCTATGGGATTGCTACCAATGACTAAGCACTCGAACAAATTACGATTTTCCGTAGTAAATATAGGAATTAATTAAATTAAGTCTCTGTGATATGTGCGACTTGCATTTCAAAGTTCCAAATGAAAGTTCAGAGATAAAGTGGTCGAATGATTAACTCCTGGCGACTGGGGGGTAAGGGTGAACTTGTATCGTCGGACTGGGCCAAACTAACAAAATAGGACGTAAATTTCTATAGTCGCTCTTGAATTAATGACACTTGTTACCCTATATCAGCGTTTTTTATTTTTGGTTACTGGATAACACATTATAAAAACACTTTTCAATAGGCTCTTTCAATTCTAAGCTTTTTTACTGTTTAAGTAAACTAAATCACAGTTTATTCAATAATCCAGCTGTTGAATGGGTATAAAAACATTAAATGCATTATATACTATCCAAAAAAGATGTAACTCACGTGTACTTTTAATCTAGAAATTGTATCCCCGTCCCCAGCACCTTCGGTAGCAACCAAATCCAGACCGCAACTTCTCTGATTTGGAAACAATCCCACCCACCCACCTTTGAGGGCTTGTGTAGCAGATGGCGTTCGAGAACTGTTGTCCGTTGTCAAAAGGGGATATCGATTCAGCCAGTGCTAGTGACCGGGTCCCACAATGCTGCGGACTCTTCGTGACCAGGCATGCTGAGCCGGAATCGATATATTTTTGCTCTCGTCCCAAGGGAGAGAAAAAGCTACTTTTGGATTAACGATGTGACAAAGAGCAAGCAAAGTATGAAGGTGTTCAGATATGTATTCAATTGAAGTTGGGAATGGGCATTGAGAAGCTTGGAAGGAGCAAAATAAATTTGAAAAGGAAGGTTTCGTACGTGCGCTTGAGCGTGCCTGCTTTGTGACGTGACTACTCTGTCGCTTTTGTCACTAAAATTTAGAATATTAATTAGAAATTAGGAACTTGACTAATTATCTGCGTTCTTTATTGATATTTCAGATCAAACAATTCGACACATTTAATTTCTTTTAGATAGACATTTCTCATTCTTACAAAACGTGAGCGTGGAAGAACATGAACTGAAGTGTACTGCAGGCAATAGTAGGTTGTGAAAGGACTCATTTCTCTACTTGTGGACTGCTTCAGAAAGGAGGCGACCATTTGAGGCTGCTGTGTTTAATAGCCGACTGCAGCGAGTTTGTTGCGTTTTTTTTCTCAGGTGGTTCCGCTGTTTGGTTGATGGTGGCCACTTTCCTGAAGCTACCCATTTCCGGGACCCATTCCATTGTGGGCGCCACTATCGGCTTCTCGTTGGTAGCGCGAGGCACCAGCGGCCTTCACTGGACCACTCTGGGCACCATCGGTGAGTTTGAGCAGAAAGTTAATTTACAAGACGAATTTCGGCTTTGAAGTAAGTGGAAGAAGTACGAACTATCGTCAATTTTCCGTGGTAAACGAAGGGTAAAAATAATTGAAGGTTTAATAAATAAAGTGCGGGGGGGGGGAATATTACATCTTTAATTTACGGCGAAATGTTGATCATAGTATTCAAGGGACGTTAAATCACGAGAATGTTTAGAAAAATTCTTATTGAGAATAAAAACCGAAAGGGGGAAGCTTCTCGTGCAAAATTAAAGGTGAATTAACGATTTTGGACAGTCATTGCAGATGAATGTTAATATTGTAAAAAGACGTGAGGCTTCTTAGGTTTCGTTATTAAAAGCTCTCGACTCTGAACTTCAGAGCCGCTCGTCGTGACGGATTGAGTGCGTGTCTGAGTTTTGTTCTTTAGGATAAACTCGTGCTTTTTGTAAATGGTGTCTTCATTGATTCGGCTGGAGGGGTACATGCGTGAGATAACTTGCTTACTACGAAGGTCAACGATGTTATAAATCGGGAGATAGTAAGAGGTCAGGGAGAGTCATGTCGGGTGCGGCTGGAAACAAAAGGCGTCTTAGCGGAGGGAAATATACTATATTGCATTTACTTTTTACAGAAATGTTGAAGTTATTCACGGGAAAAGAAACATTCATTGCCTCGCGCAGGCTAGAATTAAAATTGAAACGATTAAGTCAGACTTCTCATACTTGACGGAACAACATTTTTTATCAACTCAATCATTCAATAAGTGCCTACTAATCTTCCATTATTTCGCTCAAATGCACTAATTATGCACTTTGCCCTTGTAGGGAACGCTTCAGGGGTGACTGAGCTCATACGTGGTTTACAGAAATTATCAATCAGATTGTTTAGTTGTCAGCTTAAAATGTATGAACTACCGCGTTTCCTTTTCCTCTTTTTAAGGCAGAGTTCAGCGATACTGGAAAATCGCTCGAATGTATTTGTTTGATATGCCCTTGAATTATTTATAATTACTTATTTTCTAAAACATTGTTCCGCGTGTGTTCCATTTTTTGGATGAAAATGAAGTATTTTTTTGTTGAGAAGTGATTTTATTTCTTAATATAGTTTTAATTAATTAGGATATTGTTTCATAAAATATGCAACATTTTGAAATACTTATGCTTATTTTTTAATGTATTGTTGTACTTAATCTAAAAACAGTTTAAAACTCTGTAAAGTACTATGGAGGGGATTGTTCATTTAGAATTACACGTTTCTATATCGAAATCGAGCATCATAAAGGTGAATTGCAGAATATTCCTTGATATACATACTTCAAGCCAATTTAACCATCATTCTACACAGGAAATAAAAAAATCGCATTCGCAGTTTTCTTTTCACAGTTAATTTAGTTCGAAAATGTGTTCTTAATGTCTTTCGATCGGGAGAGATGCGTCAGTCGAGAGGATTGCACCCTATAGGGTGCTGCTCCGATATTCGCCTGATCCATCTGTTATAACAAGCCGCGAGAACGGCCGGGAGCTTAGGGCTTGCCGGGCTGGGGCGATGGCCCGCTATTGGGAGTTACCTGATTGGGGAAAATCCCACTAGCCTGGAGTCAGCGCCGGATCTCGCCATCCAGCGGGAGGCAGATCACCGCCACCTCCCGAGCAAAAAGCATGCATTACAGTTACGGGACTAATGGCCCTGGTAGTTGATGAGCCCGGAATCACTAAACAATCAATTAATGTCTTTCGTATTTTATTCATCAGTATATCTGTGGAAATGGAGTAATCGGCGAAGCAGTTGAGGAGCAGAGGGAGGACGAGGGTCAGGTCACATGACGATCTCCACGTTCGGTGAAGAAAAATAGGACGTAAACTTAAAAACATGCAGAAGAGGGCTTGTCATCCTAACTTAGGTGCGCGTTTGTGACTTCGGCAAGTGTCCTATGTAAAACGTCTGTGCTTAGTGGCTTCCTGGTTCGTCTCTCCTGTGCTGTCGGGGCTTATCTCCATGGGCCTGTACATACTGATCCGCAAGTTCATCTTGGAGGCGGAGCAGCCCGTGGTGCCCGGTTTGCGTGCGCTGCCTATCTTCTACGGACTCACGGTGCTCATTAATGTCTTCTCCGTGGTGTATAGCGGCCCAAAGTGTGAGTAGCGCTGTGCAGCATTCTACTTTTTAAAGTGAAGTTATTGAACATAAAGTTGATGAGTTGTTTTGGGATACCGACAGTTCGATACTATTGGCATTTGGGAGAATAGTTTTAAATTGTTGTGACTTATGCGAGAGTTTATAAAAGTGCTGTATTGTCAACTTCAGTTATTGTGTTTTCGGCTTGTTTTTGGTATTGCTTTTTAATACCTTTAAGTTATTATTTTAGTGAATAAAGATATCCAATTACTCTTTTGTTATAGATTTTACTTTTAATTCATAATTTTAATTTATGATTTCAATCCTTAAAAGAAATTGATCGCTCTCAAAAGTGATAGTTACTGTATGCTGTGTTCAGTAATTGACTATGATCCTAGGATTTTAGGAAATATAAAATACAGAATGAGCCAATATTGAAAACTGTCTTCTCAAAACTTAATGGAATGTTCGAAAGTATAGACTCCCTAACATTGATTCAAAGGCTCGGTTAAACAAATGAAGGCAGAGAATGTTTTCGTTGTTACATAATGCTTGAAGTATTGATTTATTATGTTGGTGTTTCTCGATGTTGGAACCAGAATTTAACTCTTTAAAACTCTTAATGAGCCAAATTTATGTCCAAGGAATCTTAAGTAAATGTGATATTTGAGTGTAATGAAAATATTTGCATATAAATATTTTTCAACTTACTAATTTTTTATGATTACATTGGAAAACACTGGCTATTGATAAGAAGAATATAGTTTAATTAATGTATTTTTAAATTTGTTAATTAAAGACATTTTGTCACTTACGAAATTTTTGCAACTTCCTCTGCTAGTAGCTCTGCCGCTGCTGTTGTTCTTGAATATATTTATATGTTACATAAAATGTAACATTCATCTTCAATCCAAAGGCATTCAGAATGGTTCCAGCAACGAATGAAAGTGGATTGTATTCAGTGCATGTTGGCAAATTATATTTCGAGGAGCATTGGGGCAAATATTTCTTTGAAGAACAATTCTTGTTAATTCTTCAGAAACAATTTACTTATTTTAATATTAAAAAAAAGCCTTTAAAATAGTCATTTGCAAAGACTTCATACCAAGTAATTGCCAACTGTCACTGAAAAATAGTTCAGTCTCATTCTACATTCACACTTTCAGGTGTCCTTGAGAAGGATATGGGGAGGTATTCCTAGTATGTGATGCGCGGTACTTACAGAATGTTACAGGAGTCTCCAGAGCTTTAAACATATGTTGAATCAATTTTAACATATGTTTAACTTGTCCCTACCATTTGGGAAGGAAAGGTGACAACTTTTTTCATCAAGTGGTGTGTTTTGTTTTTATGTACTATGCTTTGTATAAACAATTTTTTAAAGGTCACGTCATGCCTATTATTTCAATACACCTGAATAAAGGAAATTATCTTACTTGAGATGTAAAGTTACAAATTTCAATATTCACGGAAAGTTGATTTACATTTTTGTAAGAAGCAATTCAGTGCTCCTACCTAATCTACTAAATGTTCGTTAAAAGTAATTTCTTCTCTATGAAGGAAGCTAATCATCTAATAGATGAACATTGCAAGTAGCTCGTAGAAATGTCTACTGAGCGAAGCAGTGCTTTTATACATCAGTATCAATCGTTACTGTAGCAATATGGCGTGACGTGGCAGTTTTGCTGATGTGACAGTGGTGGTTGTTAGGATATTTCTTTGGAGTTGGTGGATGTTTATGAATAAATATTTTTTTCGCCCTAGCGGTGAATGATATTGATTAATCTTTTAACAACTTTAAATTTGATTCTTTTTTTAATTCAATTTATTCATCCGCCAGCTCCTTTCGGATATCCTTTGCGTATAAAAGGGTGCAAGTTATTTCACGAATACCCGGTTCTTTTTTTATACAGCTGGTCGTTCCTGGTGCCAATTTACTCCACGAAGGCGTCCTGTGTGAGTTATCATCCAATAAGGTATGGTATTGATGTGCTATCTCTATAAGAACATGAAAGATCGCCTCTTGTGTGATTGGCTGGCAGAAATCGCGCCATCGCCTTCATTTGCTTGCCGAGCCCTTTTTTTTACTGCAGTCGCTGTTTATTTCCGGCGTGACAGTTTCGGGAATCGTCGAGATTAGAAATTGTCACTGCAATAAATACGTGATATGCTATTTATTTCCCTTAGTAACAAAACTCTATCAAGCCACAATTGCTACAAGATTTCTGAATATTTTCGATGATAATATGAAAGATTATTTCGTCTTCTTAGGAACATCGGCAACCCACAGTTCTGTGCCCGCTTTCTGAGCTGTCAGGTCCTATTTCGACGCGACTGCAGTTCCAAGTAACACGAGACACTTTTATTAATTTTTTTAATGAGCCGCGCCCTAACTTCTATTTCTCGTCCTTAGTGCTGTACTTCCACTACATTCCATGGTGGGGCTCGATCATCGTCAGTGTGGGCGTTGGCATCATAGTGGCTCTTTGCATCCAGCTGATCCTGGCACCGCATCTTCGTCGCAAGATTCTCGGTGAGTCGCTGTGGAAATGGCGTTCCCAGTAAAACGCAGGTCTAGACAAGTCGCCAGGACTTCCCTCAGTAGGGTTTTACGCGTCGTCCATTGGAACACGTATTCTAATCCGCTAGATGAAAAAAAAATAACCTAGTTGAAAGAATGCGAACATTTGTAGAAAATGCGATAGTGTTTACAATCATCTTGCTGAACAAATTACCTGTAGACAAAGCGGCTAGAAGTTTCCGTCTGATATGTTCTACTTGTGAAACATGACGATTTCTTTCGAAACTTATTTCAGAGCCTCTTATAAATAAATAAAATGCAACTATTATAGAGAAAACTCGAATTAATTACTCGTCAACCGAAAATTATCAACAATAAGTCAGAGACAAACTACAGTTGACGGGGAGAGAATTATGCTTGTTGGCTTTTGCGTAAGTAGAAGTAATGTATATTCCCCTCAAGAAAATTGAATAGATTAATTTATTAAGACATCCTGTTGGAAGCTCATGTATGTTTAAATATATTTTTAGCGTTTCAAGACCGAAAAACTCCATGAATTATTTATTATTATTATTATTATTATTATTATTATTATTATTATTATTATTATTATTATTTGGAAACTCCATAAATAACACATCCTTTTTTGCCTTAAAGTGAAACAAATAGTATTGAGAGAGGATGGTTCTTACGAACAGCATCCTGAACGCAGTTTTTTTTTAATCTCCCATTCATACTTGGGAGGCCTTTGTGCTGCATGTATTGGAAAGAGCCTTTAAATCCATAAAATTCGTGGTTTAATGTATGGATACTTTTTGAAATATAGTCCCAGGTGAAAAGGGCGTGTGGGGCTCATATGGAAGTGCAACTGTTCCCGAGAAAGAAAATTCACTTCGTTAGATATGGTTTGAAAAATTTATGGGTCTCGCACGACATTTTTTAGGCTCGGGCGAAAAGGGTAATGTTGAAGAGGATAGAAGCTGTGGTCAGACGCCTGAAAACGTAAATTGGGTGTCTGTATAGATACTACTGTAGTAAATACTACCGTAGCAAGTGAAATAGTGTGCAGGTGTTGGATAATTTCACTTCTCAGTGTTGGGATCGGCAGTAACTTGGGAGAAAATCGAATATCTTATTTATTAAGCCATCATTAAATCAAATCATATTTGTGCATTTACGAAAAAAGGCAACCTTATTTTTAATATCGCAATTTTACGCGATTCTGACAATGAGTAATTCCGTGCGTTCGAAACGTCCCGTTATCATGTAAGCGCAATGAACAAATGCACAAAAGGTAACTCCGAAAACATTGCATTGTACCGGACGAAATGCTCTTTAATTGCTAAAAGCCATTGTATTTTGTTGCTTTTATAATTGTAAAAATCCATTTAAAGTAAGGGCTTATAGTAATAGATGTTTTCTTTGATTAATTGTAATATGATGAAAAGTAGTGTGTGTGAGTGCGAGCGTATAAGAGTATTTTACTATTTCTCAACATTTAGATGTCAAACTGGTCTGGAACGTGATATAAATTTATTGTGATTCTTTGTATTGTGTTGTTAGTGTGAGTCATTTTTTGTACATTTTGTACTTGTACTTGTTAAGATGTGATGCGTCTTAAATGTTATTAGTTTGTGAAAAACTTGATTAGGAAAGCTACACTTGTAAACACCAAGTTTGAGGTTGAGTTTAGGGTTTATGAAAGGTATATGGACGCCAGTTCAGATTTTGAACACAGGTTACTGTTTCTCTTACTGTGAAGCAGTGTATGAAGACATACGACAAAATGCACATGAGACAAATGCAGCAATTTGTCACCCACAGAGAAGAAAAAGCAAAAAAATAAAACAAAGGTAGAAGAAAGATAAGTGAGTAATAGTAGGTTTTATTTACAAAATTTGCAAATATTAGTTTTTCAATTAGATAATTCAGAAAATAGGAGAGGGAGCTTTTACAAAAAGATAATTGCTATATTATTTGAATTCAACTGTAAATTATAAAGAAATTTATTGCAAAATTCTCACATTTATTAGTTATTTTTAAAATTTTAATGTAAGATAATTTTATAGTGTTGATGTAATTACAAACTTAAATTGTTGTTACCATGTGAAAGGTATCTAAAACTAGAGAAAATAAGTCATTTCCATAAAAATTGTTGTGCCTAAAAGTCAGAAGTGGCAAAGTCAGAAGTATCAAAATAAACTTATAATACAAAGTTTAACTTATAATTCTTAATTGACTTTTTATTTCATATTCAAAAATGTAAGCTGATGTAGTAGCATGAAGAGGAGATGTATTTGATGTGGAACTTTAGTGTTTTTGTTCCTGCTGTATATAGTAGTCCTGCCTGGACTTGTAGAGTGCACATAGACAATCATATCTGCTGCTTTAGTAGCCTGAATTTCTAGGCCCTTTAGATTATTGACATACGTGCCGACTTATTAAAATATTGAATTGAGATAGTTTAGTTACTTTAAAAAAATTATAGATCAATTGTATGATACAATTGGGAATAAACATAAAACATAAGTAAAAATAAACATAACTTTGTGTTAAAATCAAATTATAAATGCTCAGATATTGAATGCAAAGGTAGTTTAGTTAATCCAGAAGTCGGTACTTATGATTCTAAACGTTCAGTAGTCATTAGTGTACTAGAATGAGTAACACATTTTTGACTTAGTGTGCACCCATTTTGGTGACACTCACATCTTTCCCAAGAATTTCGCATCTTGGTTTGGAGAGCTGAACGGATAATTTGTGCACTAATATACTCTCTCAAAAATTTGTGACAAAACTGTGAATTGAATTGAAGGGTACTGTGATTATATAAGTATAATTTTACTCTTTTCTTAAATGTGGTACTAATAGAGAGAAAAATATGAATATTAATGATGTTGGAAATGCCAAAGTGCAATTGAGTTCTGACATGAAAAATCAACAAGGTTCACTTACATTTTTAGTCAAGATTACAATTAAGTATAGTGGTGACCAGGCAAAGAATTCCAAAAAGTTTAGTAAAGTAAATAAATGAGGGAATAAAAAATATTTCTATTATACTACTTCTATAAAGCATGAAAAACTGTTGCTTTAATTTTTTCAAAACTATTTTGTCTACAATCTTTTTGTGGTTTGTTGTGGACTACTTTGCTGTAACAAATAACTAAAACTGTTCTCCCTTTAAACTTAATATTCCATTAAAAAATGATATGGCGTGTAAACCTGTAAATGCAACAAAAAATTCTCCCTTTCTCACTAACAATCCTTTAAACACTCAAAAATAAAACCATCTAATGTTGATATTTCACATTTACAGAAAATTTGGGAAAGAACGAGCGTCTGATATTGATCTTTTGGCTTTTAGTAGTATTTCACAGCACTTGTTGTGATGCCCCATGTCTTCATTGCTCCCCTAAAAAGCTGGCTGATGTTTTCCGCATGACAGTGTGGTGTTGTGCTCAGTTGGTGTTTCAGTACAGGGCTATTCCTGGTTCTGCTCCTTGCATCATCACTGAGGCAGCACATTCAGGGCATGGATGGGGTAGAGTTTGTTTCCCAGTTACAAAACTGCCCGTCCATGTACTGAGTGCAGTGCTTGGCCAAACAGTGAATTGCTTGGAGGAATCAGACGACTAAAGCAGCTGCCTGCAGTCATCTTGGCCCTGTGTGCCAGCTCTTCACAACTCATCCCATTGCTCTGTGTTTCAGTCCAAATGCACAGGGACAAGCAAGGTCAAGGGGTGTGCTTTACCTTCGGGGATTCCACAGGTAACAGGGCCTCTTCTGCCTGCATGCTCTTTTGGTTGGTGGCTTCAGCACTGACAAGTTACTCCAGTGCTGTTGCTACTTTGAATTTCTATAATTAACTTTGATTTAAACATTCTTATTAATTACTAATATTTAACTGTAATCATAAAATATTACTTGTACTATCATTAACTTAAAAAAATGTTTGTGCCTGCAGCATAAAAATTAAATATAAATTCAATTTTAATTTTAAGAAATTACTTTCTGATATTCCTGAATTTCATATTCACTTTGTAAATATTTAAACTGAAGTGACTGCACTATTTCTTAAACTGTTTTGAATGTGTTTCTGTAAATATTGGCCAAAATGCTGATGTTTGTGGTTTCATAAAGATTGTTTATTAATTTTACCTGACTTCTTCTGATCTCTTTCTGTCTTTGACTAAATATAATTGTTTGTGAATGCATAAAAAATTAGGATCTAACAAATGATGTCTCTGGCTGATCTCGCTCTCTCCAAGGGTTGGGAGCAGGGTGACTACCCACTTGCGTGGGTTTGGCAGCTTTCTTTTTAAAGATTTAACAAAAGCTAACTTAAATTTCCTTTATTATATTAGATATTAACTTTCACATTTGTTTTAAAATGTCCTTGATATTAACCATGTGTGTGGTTGAAAATATGGTCATAAGCATGATTAAATGCTTACTTTGTTTCTGTCTTCATACTATTTAATACACTAACAAAAACCTAACCTTCTGTATTTCTATCGTTTCCTACTACTTATTTTCTATCTTATTTTGGAAACCATTTAGAGTAAAAACCTTCTAATTGCATAACAAGACCAAATAAAAGTTTCATTTTTCTCTGTTATAAAAAAAAGCTTTAACTGCCAATCACTAATATAAATCCTATAAAATAAAAAGCAGAACATTTTTCAAAGAATGAAGGTGTGTAAATGACCTTCATTATAATAAACGAACCATATTTAACTTTGAAGTATTTTCTTGTCCTTCCTTGTCTGCAGAATGAAAAGCTTTTGTTATAAAATGTTTCCTCTTAAATTTTCATTACCAGTTAAAAAATTATAATCCTTATAAACTGCAAAACAATTAGCTGTAATTTGCTGATAACGAAAAAACATTTTACCAAGCTGCCAAGCTCTTCAACATGGGCAGGGATTTTAAGATACAATATTGTATTTATTGTCAACAATATGACTTCTCTAATTTATAGTAATTTAGACAGATATATTAGTGATTTTTTGTTATAATTGAAAAAAAGCTTTTGAATATTGTAATTACAGCTAATGCTCTACCAACATTGCTTTACAAAACAATATTTAAAAATGTGATTTATTAAAATGGCTCTATGAACCAAAAGGTGTGCTGCAGGGCTGGGCTGCACAATACAGTGCTGAACCCCACTCTGCCACCCCATGCAACTGTGTGCTCTGTCCACAGGAGTTTACGTGGTGACCGAGGACTTTCGCTCTGCACCTCGGACCGGTAGCGTTTGCTCATTTGTTTCTTGCTCCCTGCTCTTTATCATTCATTCTTTTCTTGCTCCAAGTGTCCCAAGCCCATTCATGGTTTGTGCTCCTGAACACACTTTTTGAGAAGAGACATTGGGCATGGACTTCAAAGAATGTTGCACTTGTTATTGTTGTTGAACAAGCATGCACTTAGAAAGCACTATTGCAACGTGTGTGGCATGTGATTGAAGACATTTTTATTAGCAAGACAAATTTTTTATTTACATTATGCTTTGTCATCGGTGAGTGTTTCTAACAATGGTAAAATTATCTTTTATGTGTCTGTGTTGTCTTTTGTAGTATTAGTATTATTTCCAGACCAAACACAATCTGTCACAGTTTGTATGCATGTTATTTGTTGTTGTGAGAGACTGAGAAAGCATGTCATAACTATTAATTAAGAGTTTAGAGTTTGTGTTATGTGTATATGTTAAAACTTTTGCATTGGCATTATGCGTATACTGCCTGTGCTTTTAATCTTCACAAGTCATGCTTCTACACTGTGGATGTAATGGCTTTGTGAAGGCTTTTGAATACAGAAACACATCGAGACAATTATAAACTGCAAAGCTTAAGTGCATGGAAGTACGTTTCACCACTGGTGTCAATATTCATTAGTTTTCCTTGGCAGAATCGTCTCGCGACGCCAGTCCTCGACCATCACGGGCCATGTCAATAGAAGATGTGAAGCGTCCAAAAGGAGAAATTGGTCCAGCTGCTTTGGAACCAACATCTGTTGTGGATTCCACCACTTCACCAACCGTTGGAACCAATGGGGTTAACCATCCTCCTCTTGTCAATGGCACAAAAACAAATGGATACATTAACAATAGCCTTTCTAAGGTGAGGATTAATGGGTTGGGATCTGTCTATACTGAAGGACAGCTCATGTCCATTAGATCCTCTGAGTATTGTAATTCGCATCATTTCCAAATTTCATAAATTTATTTTCACATTTTGTTTTTATTTTAAAAATTCTTACAAAGCCTCTTTGTGAGACATCTGCCCTTTTTAAGACTTTGTCTGAACTATTTCGAATAACGTGAAAGTGATCTTTCCTGTCAACATTTTTCAGTTATTTGTTGCAGTTTCAATTAACAGTTGCAAAAGGTTCCAAAAGTGTGTTAAAGTTGCCTTGTTATTTTAGGAAGCTGCTGTCAATGGAAATGGAACTACTCTCCCCACTCCAGGTGTGACATCTGCTCCTGTTCAGACAAACTTGACTCCAGCACTTCCTCCATCAGGGAATGCTACACCTGCCATGGGTAAGTACCTCTTAATTTAAAATTTTACTAGTTTCCACAAAATATAATCACCCTTAACGTAATTCCAAGGTAATTGAATTGAGAGGATTATGGTTTTCACAATGGTATTAAGATTAAGATATTATAGATTTTTAACTTTTTTGTCTCATGCTTCCGAAGTAAAAGGTTCTTGTGCATTAGTTCCATTATGAAGGCAGGACTCTGATATTTCATTTTTACCATTCATTGAAAAATTTACAAGGGACTTGAGAAACTAGAAAAAAAAGGATTTAGAAATCCTGAAGAGCTTGAAATAATAATTTAAAAAAATGAGTAATTTATTTAATTGATTTCTTTAGTTGGCTTTAGTATGAGAAACAGGGACTTCATTTGTTGAGATGTTACCCTCTCTTGCAATTCACTCACAGTCCATATCAAGCCTGATTTAGAGTGCATTCACTTTTAAGCGAACAGAAGTACAATGTTAGCAAGTTTGCATTTGCTTGGAAGGATCATAATTTGGGAAGATGTGATAGTCCTCCCACTGTATTGTTTGGAATAGGCAAAGAATGGCAGTGTCAAGCATGCTTAGTATTACAAATTGATATTAAAGGTCTTCCAATAATGTTATTTAATTTATATCAAGATATATTGTTTTCAGGTCTTTCACCAAACAGTAGTGCTGTACCATTAATCAAGGAGCGAACTCCTGAACCAGTGGTAAGTTGACATCATGAATGACATGTATATTTTAGAGCTTTTTGTTTTAGACAGTGTTAGGTCAGTAATATCCTTATTTGCATAAGACTTTTAGGGTATTGTCTCACTGAAAGTGGTGGAAGGATGATGCTAGATTCATTTCCTTTTTCAGTAAAAATCTGCTTTGAGTACCACCTTATGCTTTGTTTATGGCAGAATAGGTCAAAGCATAATTCATATGAATGTACAATTTACATTTTCAGGATTCACAATCATCAGATTTTCAGTGTTTTTTTTCTAACAAAATGTTGATATTTTTCATTCCAAGATTACTAATTCAATAAATAGCAATAATATTTTGTTGGTACTCTGGGATAATTTTTTGTGGGTTGACTGAGATAATTTATTTTTGTATAATGTTATATTATATTACGGTACGTTCTATAAATTTCTTGCATAATTTCGTACACGATTTCTGGAAGGTAAATTTGGATAATTTTTTCTGTACCATTACAATCTATACCATATGTAGCCCAAAACAAAATAGTGTCTATATTTTATAATTAAAGTGGAGTTCTCGAATGTGCTATAAAAATTATTCGTGTATTTTCTTCCTTATAAGGATGTACTACTATTGTTTTATTCCAGTCAATTCCTATATTATCATAAACATTTCCTCATAAATTTTCTTTCACATTTTTAGGTAGGCCATTTATAATACATGTTGTGTATTTTATTCATTCCATTTCTTCAATAGATAATACTTATAACTCAGGGACGAACAACTGAAAATTTAAGTGTGTATCATAAATGTTATATTTAACTTGATATTCTTTTCAGTAATATATTTGCCAATTTTGTTTTAGAAACCAGATGTTGAAGTGGGACAGTTGACATTAGAAGAAAGTGATACTGATGAACCCCATGCCATAAAGAAACTTTTCTCTTCCCTCCAAATTCTTACTGCAACATTTGGTGCATTTGCTCATGGTGGAAATGATGTTAGGTTGGTATAAAAATGTATTTGATATTGAAAAGATTCACTCTTGAGCATTAATTTTGCTGTGTGTAATTGAACAAGCAACCATTTTTTCATAAGAAAGTGAGTTGTGTCAATGGATGACTGAAGAAATTTAATTAATTTGCTTCCGCTTTCTATTAGTTCTACAGTGTGTATCATCTAGCATTTGACCTGCAATTGAAGATATACTTAATTTCTTAAGTCATTCATAGAGCTTAGTAGTTCGGCTCTGTAATCAGTATTATACTTTTACAAGATAGATAATATCTTACTTAAAAAAGTCTGTTTCTCCCTCTTTTTTTTTCCTTCTTATACTCCTTTTTTCTCCTTTTTCCATTTCTTTCTTTATTGTTTAATTACAATAAATTTATTGTTTAATTACAATAAAACTGATTTTTATTTTTAGATTTATAAGGAAATAATTCTTATTTTTTATTTTTCTGTTTTTTCACTATTGTGAAATCCATCTTCTTTACTTTTGCAGCAATGCTATTGGACCCCTTATTGCTTTGTGGCTCATTTACACTGAAGGTTCTGTGGCTCAGAAATCAGAATCACCACTTTACATTCTGTTGTATGGAGGTGTTGGTATTGCTGTTGGTTTATGGATTTGGGGCAGACGCGTTATTCAGACTATTGGTGAAGATCTCACCAAGATCACAGCTTCCACGTAAGTAGTATTAATTAATGTCTGTCTGTATCTTGGAAATGTAACAAATATGTGTTCAGGCACATTACTCATTTTTTCATATTTTTAGAACGATTGAAAGCAATCATTTTATTGAATAAAATAATGTTTTAATACACATACACACATGCATTGAAAAAAAGTTTAAACAAAATTTCAACATATTTCATAAAAAATTTGAGAAAAAATTCTGGTAACTAAAAGGTTCAGATTATTACAGAATAGAAAGTGACAGTTGGGTGATTCCATGGAAACCAAATGTATCACTTGAAGAGTTTTTCACATCTTTTGGATTAATACAATTTTGCCTTCTTTTGATTTTTGACTATGCTATTGAATCATTGCTCTGCAGCTTATTTACACTGAAGGTACAGAAGCCTATGCAAATACATATGACCCAAGAGGAAGACTGCCTAAACAGACTAATGAAAATATTTTAAATAATGTAAATGCAGATAATTTGTGCAATATTAATAAAATTGCCAAAAGATGGGGCAAAAATTGTCCAAATGAGGTGAATAAAAAGTTCATGGTTGGGTTTATGAATTTAGAAATTTTATTAGGAATTAAAATATGAGAAATATTTAATTTAAGTAGTTCTCAAGAGTCTATGCAAAACATGCATATTAATAAAATATGATAATTATAAATGTTAGGTGTGTTGAGGATAATTTCTCATTCAATAATTCGCATGATACCTAATCAAAATAAGAGATACAAAGAAGAAACTGTATAAGATAATTAAAAACAAAAATAATAAATAAATTTTGTTACTTGCTAATGATGATACGAATGAGTATACAGAGAAGTCCCTTGATTATATCGATAAAACTTTCAAGTTGACTCTTATCATTATATAAGGAAGTGAGGTGCAATCTGATTCTCATTGAAAATGTTTGTTGTTGGAAACAATAAAAGAGAGAGAAGGCATCTTTGCTGTTTCCCATGTGCTATGCAAGATGTACACTGGAGCTGCATTGGAGGGGTTTAAGAGAAGCGTAGAGCAAGTGCTGTCATAGCTGTACTGGCACCCAAGGGAGGGGGTACCTTCTCACCCCTTAGGCAAGAAGACTGAGTACCAGGATATTCATGGCAACTAAATGTATCACGTTGAGTTTTCTTGAAATCCAAAATTTAAGACAGGTAACCAATTGCACCAAACTTCGTCAAATAATGTTAAGAGTTTGCCATTTTTGTCTGAATAATTAGGGTACACTGTTTTGATTTTGTTTCTTTAATCAATAGAGATATTTATGTGTAATTATGAGAATGTATTTTTGAGATATTAATACTTTTTCAGGGGTTTTACTATTGAGATTGGAGCAGCATTTACAGTATTGCTTGCATCCCAAATTGGTCTGCCAATTTCCACCACACATTGCAAAGTTGGTTCAGTGGTTTTTGTAGGATGGGCTTCTTCCAGTAAAGAGGGAGTGAATTGGAAATTATTCAAGTAAGTATTACTAGGATAGATTTCATCATCATCAATTTTATCATCATCTAACCATTTCTTATGTGGTTTCCTCACATTGTTGTCCTAACAGTTAATACTTAAATGCTATATTTGAGAATCTTTCTTGCTTCATTCTATTGATGTAAGAAAACCATTTCTTCTGACTTTCCTTTATTTCTTTTACAACATTCTTTGTTTCAGGCTTTTTTCTAATATTTTTACTTATCATGTTAAGTATTTTTAATTTAATCTTGAGAGACATATTCCTTTCAAAATGTTTGAATTAATTAATTTTTGTTTGTCTAATGTTGTATTATGATTTTTTTTTTATTTTGAATTCCTTTTTAATGAATATAATTTTTGTTAATATATTTCCGTACTTATATTTCATTTACAAATGAGGTTTTTTTGTTTTTGTTTTTTCCAAAGGAGTTTTGTTTTTTACTTCACAAAGCATATCATAACTCTTCAAATCTACTGAAGTTTTGTCATAAAACGCCTTAAAATCTGTCAAAGAAAGCAAGTCATGTGGTCTTACTTGGTAAAATCTGCAAATTTCAAGTGTAACAAAAGCATGTCATGGTATTGTCACTTATCTTGCAACTACACATCTTGCACACCATATGAAACAAAATACTTTACGAGCACAGAAATAATTTTCTCCTAGCTTTTCAAAACGGTGCATTATGAAAGAAATTAACTGTCAATTAAAAAACTAGAGTTTTTATTTATAAAAAAACTAGTGCTACAACACACAATTTCTCACATTATTTCCATTTGCAACATTTGAAAATACAGTGTGTTTGCCAAAAATGGGAATAGCACTGAATGTTTTATTGCCCCTTGATGCATACAAGGAGAATATTTAAAACAAAAATTTGGAGCAGTTTTTGAGAAAAAATTGTTTTAAAAAATTTGAAATAGACTATATTTCATGCCAAATTTTATGAAAACTACTAATATTTTTTAAAAATTGAGCATCACCTTATTTCAAGATCTGTCTTCAAAGAATGATTTAAGAGCAAAAATCTCTATCTTTAATATTGTAGCTGTAGGAAGATGCTCCAAAAAATTGCAGTTTCGCAGTTTTCAAAAAATGCAGGGATTTCAACAAACATGAGATTGCGGATTTCCTTCAGTGTCCTCTACGCTATCCAAGGGCAAAATATAATAAAAAAAATATGTAGAACCATTTTTGAGAAAATTTTGAAAATGTTTTTGAGTCTTCTTAAAAAGTCGAGGTAAAAGAGAAACTCGCAGCATCATGACGTTCAGATTGATCAGGGTATATCAGTTTTGTTGAAAATCAGTTTAACAGTTCAGGTGCTAGTGTTAACCATAGACAGACTGAGGGAGAGAGTCGGTGAGAGGGTGGGAGAGAGTCGGTGAGAGGGTGGGAGAGAGTCGGTGAGAGGGTGGGAGAGAGGCTACCTGCCCTGGGCCCTAAGTTGTCTAGCTCCCAGCACCGATTAGGATGAGTGGGGTCCATTCCTACAACCCATTCAAAGGGAAATTTACCATTGTGCACAGCATTCAGAGATGTGTAGACATGGAGTGTTTATTGATCCATGCAATGGTAGTTGCATTTTGATAAAATGTGCATAATCCAAGAGAGTTGAAACCAGTATTCTATCATAAATTATAATGCTTACAAATGTGTAATCAAGAAATTTTACTGATTTTGATCTCTGCTGGCTACTTCTCTCCAGCTGAGTCTCATCAGCAAATTACTAATATATAATTATTACCATTGCTCAGTTACACTGGAAGACCTTCACTTGCTCTAAAATAAGTTCAGTATTTTGAAGTATGTGAAAAAATTTAAATTGTATATTTACTTTATTTCCATACTCTAATGCCCATACTCCCCTGAGTATTTGCTAGTTTCATGTCTGTGGGTGTATTAACGGTACAGCCTATTGGAATTTTGTTTTCTAGAGTAAATAACAATATTTTTTTTATTTACCATTAGACTTTTACAGCGAGTAGTTTCAAGCATCATCAAAGTGCAATAATTATAAAATGGTATAAAACAAAAATTAACACATTATACAATTTTCAAGAAAATGCATAAAGTATTAAAAACACATACATACAAAATAATTTATAAAAGTAATAAATTTTCTATAACAGCAGTTCTTTTAATTTATAGGAACAAATTCCTATTAAATATTTTTTTCAACAAGTCATTGAATTTCTTATCTTCACATACATCTTTAATGATTTTTGAACAATATTTTTATTTTTTATATTTTCTTTAATATCTTTATAAATAAATCCTCAAATCTCCTCCTACTGAAATAAGTTCTGCTTTTGTGTGCATTTTTTCTCATGAAATGAATTTTTATTGCACAAAAAAGAATGTTGTGCTCTGAGATATTTTAACTTTTCTATTTATAAAAATGGAAAGTCTAACTCATATTTCTGAGGTCCTTGAAACAAAACTATTTTTTTGTGCATGAAAGGAAAATTTTATAACAACTATAGTACAATTTTATAGATGTGACCGGAAAATATTGTCTTGCAGCTACTGTTTCATTTCCTACCATTTTACATTAGTTCTTACCTTTTGGGCTAATCAGTGGTTGTATTGTGTTCAAAATTCTGAAACAGATAATGAAAAAAGAAGTCATAGTAAAATCTGGAAGGACAAGCTGAAAGACGAAAGATAAAAGAAATAGCCTTGTACAACATGAACATCAACCTTATATTTTTCAACTAAAAAAACATATTTAAATTAATGAGCTTCATAGGTCCCTGTTATTTATTGGGCACCAAAAATGTCTCGCGGGATTAAATATCGACATCCTTTTTGAACACATGAACATTAGTGAAGTTATAGTGAGAATGCATTATGTTTCAATACTATCATGTTTTGAATTTTCTGAAAACATCCTGTATTAAAATGATTTGCTCTTTGTTTCTAGGAACATCATCTCTGCATGGGTGCTAACCCTGCCTGTGGCAGCGGGGCTCAGTGCACTTCTCATGTTCATTCTGCAAAACGTTGCCCTGTAGTTGCTGCCCAGCAATGAACAGCTTGCTCAGTCGTTCTGGCACAATAGTTTCTAAGAGATTCCAAGGGAAAACTTCACTCAGAAATGATTCATTCTTCTTTCAAGTAGCAAATGTATCTTCTTTGAAAATTCATTGTTACATGGTTCAGGGACCTACATCCTCTGGGAATTACGTACATTCTTTCAGAGGCATGACTTTTTTGCTGCTAACATCTGTATTGCTTGCAGATGTGTGGTTGAATTCTTAAGATTTAAACATTTCTGAGATGAGTTTTCTATTTATTAATATGGATTGAGGGTCAAGTCTCAAATGGTAAAATTCTGAACACTTGTTAAATCTTAACATTCACGGAAGATTTAGTACACTTTTTAATTTGTACATCTGTGTATGTAAAATCATTAGTCTGACCACAAAGTCCAAATTGATATTGTTGAAAGTGTGATGTTCAGTCTATTTTGATGAACAATTAAGATTGTGTATGAGTTGTGGGTGCTGAAGTTTTGTAAAAAATGCATTAAAATTGCACCTTTGGGGCAGAGACTGCAAAAGTTGGTTGTGTGTAATGGAAGTGAGAAGACCTCCTAAGTCTAGTTAGAAAAACCAGCAAACTGTGTTTGTAAGGGAGTGGTGGTTTTTTAATTATTTTTTTTTAAAAAAAAGATAAGCTTTACATACTGCTGTGCAGCTGTGTCAATGGTAGGTCTGAAACAAAAAGAAAAGAAAGAAGTGAATGCATGGGTTGAAGTGGGATAATTACAAACCCACTTGTTGCACTCTGTGGTGCCTTCCTGTTTGCTTGTAGCTTGTGTTGACTGGGAAGGGATCATTATTTTTTTATTTATTTTTTTTTATTACAATCTGAACGGAATAAGAAGGACCTTGGCAAGAGTTAAGAATGTATACACATGAATTTCTCTGATTCATTTATTGTGAAAAATAATGAACAATGAGAAACTAAAATTTCAATAATTGAACTGTTCAATTGTCAAGTAACAATACAAGACTGTCTAAGCACTAATAATTTCAAAAATGGTGCTGCAAATTGAAAAATTGACTGGAATTGTCGTTCAAAGGCTGTTGCTAGGAGGAAGTCTCTTAGGCTCTCTCATGTCACTTGAGGAGTCCCACAGCAAAGATACTATCTTTCTGCTCTGTCCTCGAAGATTGTATAGCGTTTACGTGACAGTTTCAGACTTGGTGTGCTCAGTGGGTTCCTCTTATTCCTGTCCGACAATTCTTAATAATAGATATGTATATTTACAAGTGCCTTATTTTATCAGTATTTTAATTCTTATTGTTGCTGCTGCTACTACTGTAATGTATAATGAATGCCCTTTCCTTGTATATCAGTCAAAATATATGAGACATTTTTCTTAGTAGAACTTCAAAACTGTTTGTTTGAATTGTGTTAGTATACTTTCTGAATGTGATTTTGCAGTGTGGTCGTATCTCTTGCTATTGTGAATGTTTCTTAAATACAACTGGAAATTTTCTCCCTAGTATGTATGTGTATGTAGTGTAATGTGACTTGAAAAAAGATCTAACAATGTTTCTTTAATAACGAGCATCTCTTATACATTTCTAATAAAGTTTCAAATGTGAATGTGATCAGGAAATTCATTTACTTGAATCAAATTCACAATGGTCAAGGTACTGTATCGCATTTTACATATAAGTGACAATTTTTGTGAAATTCAGATATGATAGGCGAAGTAATATTGTGTTTCCATATTTATTTGCCATTTACATTTGTGATATAACATATTCAGTAACATTGCGAATTCTGATTTGAAAACTATACATAAGAAATTAATTTTGTTTGGACATGTCTTATTTATTTATGATTTATGATCATTATTAAGATCTGGATATTTTTTCTCCCATGTGGATTTGCGAGGTAGCTTAATGCTATTTCCCCCAAACAATTGATATATTATTAAGAGAAATTTTGGTTAATTGTGATTTTACTTAGCAGTGGAAGTATTTTTGAACACATGAATATTAAGGAATAATGATAATATGAAATTTTAAGTTATTTATTCCCTAAGTAGATTATTTATGAAGATAAGTTTTGAAGAACATTGATGGACTTGAATAAAGAGAAAATTGTTATAATTGAAACATTGTTTGGTGTCATTCTAACATCTAATTTGCCTGCATGAAATGAATGATATGTGTTTTTGCATGTTGTTACGTAGTTATACTACTTCCTCATTTCTTCCATTTTAACTCGTGGTTGAAATGTGTAATATATTGCAGTCTTAGGAATGATTTGTGTAACAATGGAGAAACAATTTTTGAAAACCTGTTTATGAACTATTCTTGTATACCTGTGTCTGTCGGGGACTGAACCTTCAGATATCAATGCTTATTTGTTTCCCACTTCTGCACCCCTGAAACTGTATTGGAGGAGTTTCCTTGTTAGTGCCTGGTGCATGTTTTGTGGGAAGGGAGTAGACTCGAGGGACAAAGGGGTTAGCTGATCAGCAGCTCTGCCCCAAGGAAGGTTGACAGTTAATTCCTTAAAAAGTCTAAATCTGTCTGCCTTCCTCTGCTCTCTCAATCAGCGAAAACACTGCAGTATGTCCAGGTGGACTAACTATATAATTTTGCATAGCGCCTGTGAACAGGGATACATACAGAGAAATGAGTATTTTTAATAAGTGCATATTTTTTGGAGATGGTATTGAATAACTGCTGTGCGCTTGAATGTGAAATAGGGTTGCAAGAGAATCTCGATGATAGGACTCCTTGCCCACCTTTTCAAGAGAGAGTAGCTTTGGCTCCACAGTAGCCTCTGACGACATTCCACTGTGTTGAAAATTGAAAATGTAGTTTGTTAAAGATCCCCATAAGGTTGGATTCTCTTTGTATTTGAAATGTTGATTTCTGTGTTTAAACTGCAGGCATCTTCTTGGGAGAAATCAATTGTTCTATTATGCATATCTTTAACAGTAAAAAAACTGATTCAAAGAAAATCATAAAAATTAATGTCTTAAACTGTGCAATTTATGTTTTTCCATCTAGCTATCTGTGTATTGGATGTTAAATTTCACTGCACAGTAGTTCAATAGCTGGCCACTCCCATGTTGCCTAAATGTTTGTTCAGGTTTATGTAGTATACCCTGGTAGTGACACAGGGTTATGGCAGTGATGGTAATGGGAAAGCTACCATTGCTTGCACTGTGCTTCAGTCTTACCCTCAACAATAGAGCTGTTTAGGCAGTTTGGTGTTCTGTGTAACAACCAGCTGTTAGTTGTCACTAATCCTTCATGTTTCAGACTAGCTCTTGTTGAATATTGTTATTTGTTAGTCACAGCCCATGTTCTTTATTTGTTGCAATGAGAATTGTCTGTTTCTGCAATGATGACCTATCTGTTCAAGAATTTAAAAATTTGAAAAATGTAAGGAAGAAAAGTGATCTCCAGACTGTGTACATTTAACTTTGTTACTATTTTGCTTTTTTTAAAACAATACAGAAAATATATTAGCAATTTATCCCCAAAAGGATAAATCTATGAATGTTACTAGTATTTTTTTTTATTTCCTACTTCATGTATTGTTTCTGTTTTTTGAGAAATAATATTTTTTATTAGACAAGCATATATTTTTTTCAAGACCGTTAAAATAGCCTGTGCTTAGTTTCATTTTATTTTAAATCCAAAAATTCATTAATTGGAAAATTGGGTGTTCCATTTGTGTAGGGGCTTGGGGCAGATCCACCCCAGTGAAAGGACATCAGGGCTGTTGGTTCAAATCCTATGTATGACATGGATGTTTTAAATGTGTTGGGGATGGGGACATTCCCGATTCCTCAAGTGTCATCTTTGAGCCTTAATCCTTCTCAAAAATCTTTGGTGATACTGGTCATTGGTGAGATTTGCAAACTGATGAATTGACTCCCCTAATCCTTTAAAAGATACAAGAATTAGGTGACATTAGGTGCATGAGAGTCTGGGAGTAATATGAGCTAGTGTCAGCTTGTGCACATTTCTAAAGAGGAGGAAAGAAGAATAATGCATAACGTGTGGTACTGAACTAAATTGGTCCAGTTTACATATGAAAATTTACTTCATTTCACACAAAAAGAACGTTGCATATTAACATGGAATAATCTGCAAGTATCCTCTCTCTTCCATCTTTCACTTAAATCTGTCCGTACAGTCCCTCCACTTCTGTTTCCGTGTCGCCTGCACGAAGCTGTCTTAAGAGCTTCAGAGGAGAGAGAACTCCTTCATGATGCAAGCAAACTTCATACTCCCCCAGCCCTGTGAATTCAACTTCATTTGCCAAGTTTGTTTTTGAAAAATTAGGAAATATACATTTAAAGAAAAAATATGTTCATTCTTTCTAATTATGTCACTGTTAATACACCAATCTTTGTTAGTAGGTATAGCAGAAGAAACATTAAACAAAACAAGGTATTTCGCGGTTGGTGCACATGAAGTCTAACGCACCAAGGTCTGTGTCACAGAAGCCTTGCGTTGACACGCGTCACCTCCGCCCAAGGGTCTCTTAACGCGCTTCGTTGATTAACACTGTATTTTATAAGAAATGGTACACGAGCGATCTTGGTGACGTGCGTTTTGTCCATAGCTCAAGCTATAATGTAAGTCAAAATAATACGCGTTTTCTAGCTTGAAACACGCGACTCGTAGGCGGTCATCAACGCAGCTGACGTCATCAGCCTAAGGCGGCTCCATACATGCGGCATTCGGTGACGCACGTCAACGCAACAGTGTGTTTCAGGCCTAAAACTAACGAAACTAAATTCTTAAGTGCACCAGAAAAAATTGAAAACAGAAACAATACTTCCTCTAGAAAGGAACTTCAAAAGAGCTTGAAGAACCCGTGCGTGTGAAAGTTTAAAACAAACTTGGCAAATCTTTAACACACATTTCATTTGCTTAACCAAGGGTTGGTGCAGTTTTCACAGAGAACGGGCAAAGGGTCCCCTCAACGAAAAAAAAAAAAAAAAAAAAAAAAAAAAAA